CATGCATATTTACCTTTTGTGCTTTCTATTTATTGTATATGTTGATAAAAAAAATCAAAATTGTAAAAATTGTAAGATTGTATACATTGATTTAAAAAAATCAAAATAGGAAAGATTGGAAGATTTATGTTTTATTTATATTATTTATTATAAAATGTTTTAAAATAAATTATCATCTAAAAATTTATATTACATATTAAAAACATGTTTATATCATAAATAAATTAAACTTGATTTTTATAAAATTTAACATATTTATTTTTATGTTTTTATTAGTGTTAAATTATTATTAAGTAGGTTTTTAAGATTGCAGTTCTAGCTAAAAAATTTAAAAAATGTCTATGACAAATAAATATATCATATTTATAACATATATTTTTAATAAAAATTAGGTTTAAATATGTTAAATTATAATATAACATAATTTGACCTAGTTTATTTTCATCCTTAATCGTAATTGTAGATATAAAAACTTGTAAAAGATAACTATAATTTATATTTATACTTTTAAAAATTATATGTAAAATTTTTAATATTACAAATATATGAATAATTATTGCCCCCACGATCTAAAATTTCTGGATCCATTACTGATTATAATCATTGGTCGTTTTGTTTGGCATTCTAGAACTAGAACGGCCCGTTCTGAAACCAGAAAAGCTTGTTCTGCTTTCACTCTTAGTGTGTTAATTTTGCATCTGAAATGACCCGTTCCAAATGCAAAATTTACACACCAAGAGTGCAAGCAGAACGAGCCGTTCTGGTTTCAAAACAGGTCGTTTTAGTTCCAGATCCATTAAAAAATTTGGCATCCACCTATGCATCTACGTGGCATCCACGTGGCCAACAGTTAACTCCGTTTAAATAATTTGGACGGAAGTCCGACATTGAAGTAATTTAAATTATTAGGGACCAAATTGAAACAAAAAATTAAAGTGGAACTAAATTGAAACAAAAAAATATTATAAGGGACCAAATTAGGTTTTAACCTAAATTTTACATAAATATTTATAGAAAAAAATAGAAAAAGAAGAGATAAAAGAAAAAGAGATGAGAGAGAACTGGGGGGGTGGAGAAAAAAAAAAAGAGTGTTCAAAAAGGAAGAGGAGAAAGAGAATGAAAGAGAAAAATGAGAATGACAATAGAGACAAGAAAATAGTAAGGAGAGATGAGGGATAAAAGTGAGTGGAGAAATAAAAGAAGAAAAAAAGTCACACAAAATGTCAATATTTAGATGAGATCTTTGGATGAGTATGTTGTATATAAATTCTACGAAAAACTTGAAATTTTTTTTTATAAAATAATTCATCAAAATCTGTGTATTTTTTTGAATACCAAAAGACCTTTCCGTAAGTGATAAAAAGTCTCAACTGAATACCACCAATTTTTGACACCCTCTTTAAGACATTTTTATAGTCATGATTAAATATCAAAATACTTAAGTTTATTATTTGAAATTCTTGATTGAATACCACAAGAATTCTTTTATGATAAAATAATCTTTTAAAATCTCAATTCAATATCTAAAAAGTTAGTTAGTCTTTGGAGAATTTTGTCTATGTAAATGACACAACTTATTTTGAACTTGAATAAAATTGAATTTGTTTAAAACAAAAGTTAATTAAATTTAACTAAATATGAGAATTTAATTTTTTTTTGAGTTTTAGTATTCACTCATTATATTTTTATACACCCTTTATATATATATATATATA